CTAAAGAAAATGAAGTAAAATAAAAAGGTGAAAATATTTGTTATCTTAACAAAATATCCATTGCGCATGTGCCACAAAAATCAAAACATTACACATAAACACCCACACACATATACATATGCGCTTCCAAAAGCCGGTAACTTTAATTATCAAAACAATAATAGATGCACGTGGCGAAAGCACGTTGTTAAACACGCGACCGGCTTTTCTAAAGTCTCTCTGTTTCTGTTGCTTTATATCCTTTTACATGCACTCTTTCGCTCTCATGCTCTCTGTGTATTTTTCGGAGATGCACACATACATATACAGCGTTCAATTTCGAAATCATACATTTCGAATATGCACTGCGCAGGTCCTTCGAACATCCTGAGTCGGCAACTCGTTCACCAGCTACTAGGATACGCTGAAGTTGCGGACACATCCAGTCTAGAGTAAAATTTTCAAGAAATCGGAAGCAAAAAATTCTTCTTAACATCAGCGTCTAAGTGAAAAGGAAATATAGATATCTACTATAGAGCACCATATAGATATACATACTACTTACATATAATATACATATACATATAAGAAAAAATTATAAAACGGGTTTTAAAGTATTTTAAGCAGTAAATTTAATTGAAAAAATATTGCAGAAACCTTTAAAAGGTTGAATTTAATAAGTTTTTTATAAAAAATTGTGCACATAAATGAAAATTTCAACCAGGAAAAGAAATGAAAGCTATGACTAAGCAGTGACGACATCGACTTACACAATTTCTCTATACTATATATACAACCATATATTAAAAGTGAAGAAAATTGTTCGATAAACCTTTAAAAAATTAGATTTTTTACAAAATGGTCACTGAAAATGGAACGCAGGTAATTTTCAATGAGTTTCAAACACCTTTCCGATATTTTAAATGAATTTTCAATATTGAATAATACGGCAGCCATATTGGCGTCCATCTTTGACAATATCGATTTTTCATAGAAGCAATGAATATATGCACTTTCAATAGGAAATTTAATATAAATTATGATACCTTATAAAAAAAAACTTAAATTTTCATTGAAAAATTGATTTCAACTAGCGAAAGAAATGCATTTTTAGTTAAATTTACGCAAAAGTTTTTCACAGGGACCCACCCTTTTTTGGGTGGTTGAAAATTTTCATCGATTTTCCTGTTCTCCTTTGCGTCGACTGCGTAGGTAAACTGCTTTCATACTATGGCATACCATGGTAGGTCGTAGGTTGTGTATAGTTGCAGGTGAATGGTGTATTTGTGTGAAAATTTGCCAAATGATTAAAACTGGTAGTTCATAGTGGGATTCTTAATTTTTCAAGTACAAACTCGTACGTACATAACATGCAAATAACATGCAGATGATACAATTCGGTTTGTAGTTAATTTCAAGGGAGCAAAAAAAAAAAAAATTTAATATTATTTTTACATACATACGCACATATATGAGAGCATAGCATGTGTTAATAGATAATTTCACTTTGGGTGCGGCTCTAGTGCGACTTATGTATGATGAGTAAGGCAGAAAATGCGACTAATGTGCGTGTTTTAGGAGGCGAATGTATTCATTACTCACTTCATTAATTTTTAGATTAACCTAATTTCAAGATATGCCTTGACAAAATGACTTTTTGCATATGATCTATGTACAATAATACATACATACTTACATATATAGATATGTATATAAGTATTTGTCTACTTGCTAGGGATATTGTGTGTTGTTGTTGTTAAAATGAGTCATATTCAGTGAAATTAGTAGAATGATGATATTAGAAGTAGAGTATTTTTGAAGATTTGACAACAATTTATAGATTTAATGCTTTATGTTAGTTCGATATAACTTAGTGCTCCATTCAAATTTGTGATACGTTTATTGATGTTTGAACACAAAAAGATGGGAATTTATTCATGTCAGAAATATCCTCGGAGGGTCCGCCTTAAAAAAAAAAAAAGTTTCATATAACTTTGGGTATTGGCATGACCAGGAATCAAAACGATTGAGGAAGGTGAAAATGCATGTAAAAATTATAATAAAATGTATATGGTTGCATTATTTACGTACATATTGTTCAAATATGAATGGATTAATTAAGGATAATGCAATTCTAATTATCATTAAAATCCACTAAGTTCTTAAAATTAATTTGTCTATGGCAACTTTTGTGTGGAATATTTCTGCTATATCTATTGCTGAATAAAATTTCAGTGCACCATTTGCGACCAAAAACCGAAGGAAAAAACTAAATTTTAATTATATTACATTATAAACGTATGATAATTACATAATTTTTTAAGCAATAAATAATTTAAAAATAATTGTTGAGCTTTGTGACATATTTTTTTTTGGCTTTGTCATCTTTCGAAAATATTTGTAAAATTTACAGTTTATTATTTAAATCTATGAAATCGGGAATCTTCAATTTTGAAAACAATAAGACAAGTGTTCCGATGTCCATTTGAAAATAGGCAAATAATGCATTTTTTATGCCACAAATAAATAACTCACCATTAGTTTTGAAAATGATCATCAGTAAAGCGCAAAATTATCATTATAGATTTAATAAGGTTCTCTTATTTTTTCTTTTAATTTTAGTTTTTTTTTTTCATTAAAAATCTACGAATTGATTATGATTCTACGAAGAAATTATGATTTTTGACCGCGAATTTTTCACTCGTTCTCCCAACCAGTACAATTACAAGATTAGCTTATTTTCACTGACACGACGCGCTCTGTGCTAACTAAATATTTAAAAACATGATTGCGAGATCTTAATATTTTAAATTGCCTGTTTTTCATGTTAATGAAACTTGACATTCACAATGGGTTTCTTCTTCTTGTTTTTTTGGCGTTGACACCGTTAACGCGATTTTAGCCGGTAGTAGAAATCGACTAATGACGTCTTTCCATGCATTTCGGTGCAAAAATTGAGACCCTCTTCAGAGAACTAATCTTTTTCCACAGTGAAATAGGGTTCAATTTTTAGCAACTGCGGCAATTACTGTTTCCACGAAACTAATATTATACTTAAACATTTTTATTGAAAGCAAAAAATTGCGTAAATAATATTTTCAATTACTTATTATTTTTTGCTTAGAATTTTGTAACTTTTAATGAGAAAAGTAGATGAGAATCGTGCTAATATTCATTTTTTAATATCCAATAATAAGCTAAAGGAAAATATTTTTTTCTATACAAAGTATTACTTTATACATCGGTGGTAATAAAATACACACTTTTTTCTTTTACCTCGTGGAATACAATGTTATTTTAATGTTTTGCACATTTTTAACGAGTCTATGCATTTGAGGTATGTATGCAAAATGTGTTTTAAAGAAATTCTCACTTAAATCACTGAAAACTTCCAGGTTTCAAATAATCAGTAGCATTATATTCTTTTATTTGAAAATCCTCTAAAGAAAATTTCCCCGAGCAATCTCGTTATACTAAGTAAATATTAAAGAAAGAAATGTGAAATTACTTCCGGTATTTACATTCTATTATGTTTTTCGTAATTCAAAAGATTCTTTCGCTTTGGAAAAATGTCTTTTATTTTCATTGACATGACCAAATGGATATTTTTACTTTGAATGCTTACAAAGCTTATAACTGAACTCATGTACAAACAAATGTTGCGGGTAAATATGGAAGCAGAAAATAATAACAAAAAAAACCCTCTGTCTGCCGCATGGACACTTCATTTCCAACCGGAGGAGGGCTAGAAATCAAAAAGGACGAAGAAAATATATGAAATGAAGTTGAGAGAGGTTTAGCGAAACTCGAATTGTGCTCTTTCGAACACATTGCATTTCTCGCAAATTGATGACGCCATTTTCGACTCTTTCGAACATTAAGAGTTTTTTCGTAAATGCTCAACTTTCAACCCTACACATTTTTGTAAACAAACAACTTGTAAACAAATTTTATAGTATTGTATTTGTATATACATTTGTATGTATTGCCTACACTTAAATATACCTATTTGTATGAGCAAGTGCAAGTGTTGCTAACAGCTGGCCTGGCTGCACTTCTGTTTGACATTGTTGCCGAGCCATCGACATAGTTTACTATTTTTCGGGTGGGTGGTAGTTTGTTGAGTTGGTTGGGTGGCAACCGGAAAGTTTAATTAAATGCACCTGTGTAAGTTGAATGACCATTTACCCTTGCAGGTGCATAGGTAGTTTGATGTTTTTTGTTGAAAAAAAAAAATAATAAAAATAAAGCTAAAATATTTGGATTGCTGCAGCCATAACTTTTGAGGCAAACGTTGCCTACTTCAAGGCGAAGTATTTCATATATTTGGAAATGGAAATTGCTTTTAAATTTTTTGTATTGTAAATTTTGCTCGTCTTGGACAAAGCTTCCAAAGCTTACTAAAATTATTTTCGTTAATATGTGTATATAACAATCGTATATAGCTTTGGTAATTAAACAGAAAATGTCGCATTTAAACATATATATGCAAACACTTTTCGCATCTGTTCTTTATCGATTTAAGAATTCTTCATACAAAGATTTTTACTAAGAAGATCACAAGTAAATTTGTATGAAAACTATTTTTTTACTATTTTTTCAAACTTGTCCGGGTTCTTGAACACTTTGAGGTATGAGGTCATTAAAGATGTATTCGCTTTTGACAATTCAGTGAGATTGTTTTAGTGGATGTGTGCAGTTTCATAAACAAATTTCGGGCTGCTTTAATTAATTCCCCTATTTTTATGTGAAAATTACATTTTTCTTTAGAAGCTGTTGGCTATATATTTATTTTTTCCTCAAAGTATTCCATTTAAAACGCGAACTAGAGATTTTCGAGAGCTTAACTTGAAAACAAAACTTCTTAAGCAGAGCTAAAGCCTTTCAAAAGTATTGTATCGTGAAAGTTGATAACTAATAACCGTGATTCTGAATCATTGTAACAGAAATAATAAGAAATATTTACATAATGATTATTTGGTTCAAAATATGCATATTTTAAACATTTTATTTCCTTTTAGGGCGATGGCAACACATCATTTCTGCGCGCAGCCAGAGCTGGCAATTTGGAACGAGTTTTGGAACATTTAAAAAATAATATTGACATTAACACCAGCAACGCTGTAAGTTAAAAAAAAAAGAAAAATTTTCGACATTTTCAACAAAACTCTTCCTCCTATCTCTCCCTAGAATGGCTTGAATGCACTGCATTTGGCTTCCAAGGATGGACATACGCATGTCGTGTCCGAGTTATTGAAACGCGGTGCTATTGTGGACAGCGCTACGAAGAAGGGTAACACCGCCTTGCATATTGCCTCACTCGCCGGCCAGGAGGCGGTAGTGCAACTTTTGCTCGAGCACAACGCCTCCGTGAATGTACAGTCGCAGAATGGTTTTACACCTCTTTATATGGCGGCGCAGGAGAATCATGACTCCGTCGTTAAGCTGCTTCTAGCCAATGGCGCTAATCAAAGTCTAGCTACGGAAGATGGTTTTACACCACTGGCAGTGGCTATGCAGCAAGGACATGATAAAGTTGTCGCTGTACTCTTGGAGAGTGACACGCGCGGTAAAGTGCGCTTACCTGCATTGCATATTGCGGCCAAGAAAGACGATGTCAAGGCCGCCACACTACTTTTGGATGTAAGTATGCTAAGCAAGTAGTATTTAAATTTTGTTGTAATACTGGATTTATGCAATTTTTTATAGAATGACCACAATCCCGATGTGACTTCCAAATCTGGCTTTACACCACTTCACATTGCTTCCCACTATGGCAACCAAGCCATTGCTAATTTACTCATACAAAAAGGTGCTGATGTTAATTTCTGCGCCAAGCACAATATTAGTCCCTTGCATGTTGCCGCCAAATGGGGCAAGACCAATATGGTATCGTTGCTGCTCGAGAAGGGTGCTAATATTGAGGCGAAAACACGTGATGGTCTTACACCATTACATTGTGCGGCTCGTTCCGGCCACGAGCAAGTTGTCGATATGCTTTTGGAGCGCGGCGCACCGATTAGTGCTAAAACGAAGAATGGTCTCGCACCGCTGCATATGGCCGCACAGGGTGAGCATGTAGATGCCGCACGCATTTTGCTCTATCATCGTGCTCCCGTTGACGAGGTGACCGTAGACTATTTGACAGCACTACATGTGGCCGCCCATTGTGGACATGCGCGTGTCGCAAAGTTATTACTCGATCGCAATGCCGACGCGAATGCACGTGCTCTGAACGGTTTCACGCCGTTGCACATCGCGTGCAAGAAGAATCGCATTAAGGTGGTGGAGTTGTTGTTGCGTAACGACGCCAGTATTAGTGCCACCACAGAGAGCGGCTTGACACCGCTGCATGTAGCCGCCTTTATGGGCTGTATGAATATCGTTATCTATTTGTTGCAACATGAAGCTAGTCCAGATGTTCCGACCGTGCGCGGGGAGACGCCTCTGCATTTGGCTGCAAGGGCAAATCAGGTGAGACTCAGTTATCCTATGAGGTTATTTCGGTGAATATGGTTATTTTAACTGTACATATTTTCTTTTCTTTCTCATAGACTGATATAATACGCATTTTGTTACGCAATGGGGCTCAAGTAGATGCACGCGCTCGTGAACAGCAGACCCCGCTGCATATAGCCTCACGGCTCGGTAATGTGGATATTGTAATGTTGTTGTTGCAGCATGGCGCTCAAGTTGATGCCACGACCAAGGACATGTACACCGCGTTACATATTGCTGCCAAGGAGGGTCAGGATGAGGTAAAACAATTGATTGCGAAAAAGATTGTGGACCACATTGATACGGTTTATTTGATGCAATTGTTTTGGATACGACATCAGGAGTATTTTATTTGATTTAAATTGTTTTTTCTTCTTTTTACTTCTCTAATTATTATATGTAAATTATGTTTCTTTAAATTTTGTAATTATTTTAATGTTTCGTAAATTTACTGTTAAGTTTGTATTATTATTGAGTTTTAGTTGATCCAGACCGCAAAAAAAATATCCACCATTCCTTAAATTTAACAAACAAAAGAGAAACAGATAACTTCTCTTTGGCAAAAAATTTCAGATTGGAGTTGAACTAAACAAACTTACGCCTAAGTTTAGGCAATGCAGTTACATTTACAGGCCGGTTCTCACTGGTACTGGTAAAGTAAATTTTGTTACTTTTTTAACTCCCGAAATTGAATTTGGTATTCTGGCGAACTGGTTACAATGTTTGAAAACACTTGGGCAGCACTGCTTTTTTCGTCCTTGTCAAATTACATTTGCCAGTTGGTAAAGTAAGAAAATAAGAACATTCACATCGAAATGGAAGAAGGTGCACTTAAAAATAAATAAGTTTTATTTATTTGTTTGTTAAATCATAAATATTTGAACCTAATCTTAGAACATCTGCCAAAACGAAGCAAAAAGCTGAATGAAAACTCTACCTTCCAAATTAAAGCGGTAATTTTTTGTTACCTTCTATTTCGCTGGTAACAAAATTTACAGGGTGACAGTGTACTCAGACTACGAAATGGTAACAAAATTTACTAAATGGTAAATTTTAGTAGCAAAGTAAATTTTTTTACGTCGACAGAATAGGCCTGCTAGACGCATTTGTTGAAGTATTAATTTCGTCTAAACTTAGATAATTGACATTAAACAAATAGTGAAGTCGCCTAAAAATATGTATATAATTTCGAGAGCTTTGCCAATTGCTGATGTACTCCGGGTAGAACTCTTCGGCGAAATCTCATTTTTCACAAGAAGGCTTAAACTTAATAATGATTGCGCATTATCTTAAAACAATTCAACGAATCTCCGAAATTTTCTTAAATATCTAATTAAAAAAGGTTTTTTATGAAATATCTCTTTATTTTGATTTATAAATGTTATTTGTTGAAAAGAAAATAATCAACACTGCCTTAAATGATTAGGCTACGATGGAAACATATTTTTAAAATATTTAAATAACATTTGCTAAATTTTTCTTTTACATTGTATTTTGTAAGCACCACATTTTTTGTTACATTCTTTAACTTTGTTTGTTATTCGTTGTAAAATAATATTATGATTTATTTGTTGTCTCAAAATATTGTTTAATAAATAATAAAAAATAAAATATTATTTTTTTATTTATTTTATAGTTCTCGATTTGCATAAAAATATTTCTAACAACATAGTTCCTAAATTATTTATTAATTCAATAAAATTGCACAAAATTTTCAAATGCTTACAACAAATAGGTCGCTGCTGTTTTGATCGAGAACGGTGCAGCCTTAGACGCTGCCACAAAGAAAGGATTCACACCACTACATTTGACCGCCAAATATGGTCACATCAAAGTTGCTCAATTGCTGTTGCAAAAGGAGGCGGATGTGGATACACAGGGAAAGAACGGTGTGACACCATTACATGTCGCCTGTCATTATGATAACCAAAAGGTCGCTTTATTATTGCTGGAGAAAGGCGCCAGTCCACATGCAACAGCCAAAAATGGACATACACCATTACATATTGCTGCACGTAAAAATCAAATGGATATTGCTACAACACTTCTAGAATATGGCGCTCAGGCTAATGCCGAGAGCAAAGCCGGTTTTACGCCATTGCATTTGAGTTGTCAGGTGAGTGGTGAGAGCAATACTAGGGTGGTTCAAAGAAAAATATATAGATTTCGATCTCCTTTTATCGAATCGGTTAACATTACATTTTGTCGGCTGAAAATCAATCTAAATATTAAAAAAATAAAGCAATAAATAAAAATATTACTTCATGCAAAAAGTATCAAAATTTAGTTCTAAAAAGATATAAAATCTCAAATGCAAAGCAATGAAAGAAAAAAATTTAAAAAGAGCTGTACTAAATTTTAAAATCAAATTCAAGCCTATTCCACTTCTATAACTCAAATTAATTTTAATAAGAAAAAACGGCATATATAAAATTAACTATAAAAAAGTGCTGTTTTCCGCAAGGCCAAGGCCCTCATATCTTTCATGAACAAATTAAATTGTATGTATTACATGTTTTTTTGATGATTTCAACTAAATCTCATATCTGAACAAATCGGTTGTATGGGGGCTATATGACTTTGTCTTTGGGTTTCGATAATACTCATTGTAAACAATTATTTTAATTCGCGCTTTTATAGGTTTTTTTTTTGGCAGATTATTGACCCAAAATCTCACCGCTGAACAAATCTATGACTTTGCAATTTCCAATTCATTATATGATTGCTCTTATTGAAGTATTTATCACCTAAAATCTGAACAAATCAGTTTCATGGAGGCTAAATGATATAGTCGACCGATCTGACCGATCCCGAAAAATTATCAATACTATAAAAAAACGCACCCGCTAACTAAGCACTAAGTTTCGTTCAAATATCCCAAAAGTTTCCGTTCAGGTATACAGACACAGCTTAATCAACTCAGCACTTACTTACATACTTAGGACAAAAGCTAAAATACCATTTTATATTCATAAAAGGAGATCTGGTAACAACTTAATTTCTTTCTAAAAGCTCTTAGAAACCAAATAGGAAAAATTAAAAATAATTTTATTTTAGTACCATAAAATTTTGAAATAAAATTCATATTGTGTTTTGACAAACTAAAATAAAATATTTAAAATTTTTACTTGTATTAAACAATATTCAAATTAATTGTAAAATGTTAAATATACAAAAATAAATAAAAATAAATAAATTTAATATATCTAAAATTGAATATAAAATAAAAAATAATTAAAAATAAATAGATTTGGTTTTAACAAATCAAATAAATCTTAAATAAATTAATTAATTAAATTAATATTATATTACAATTCCCGTTAAGTTCCATCATAATTAAAATAAGCCACAGTATTAAAATAATTAATTAAATTTAAAAAAATTGAATAGGTGTGTAAAAATATAATTTTTGGACCAGGCTAATATTCGAGTATAAAAATGACTTTAACAATAAAATATGTTAATATTATTATTATCTATTAATTTAACAGGAGGGACACTCTGAGATCTCCAATTTGCTTATCGAACACAAGGCTGGCGTGAATCACCCCGCCAAGAATGGCTTAACTCCAATGCATTTATGCGCACAGGAGGATAATGTGAATGTGGCTGAAATCTTGCAGCGCAATGGCGCTAACACAGACATGGCCACCAAAGCTGGCTATACACCACTACACGTGGCTGCCCATTTCGGTCAAGCCAATATGGTGCGATTTTTGCTACAACATGGCGCCAATGTGGACGCTGCAACATCCATTGGTTATACGCCACTACATCAGACCGCACAGCAGGGACATTGTCATGTTGTCAATCTATTGTTGGAACATAAGGCGAATGCCAATGCCCAGACGGCGAATGGACAGACACCATTGCATATTGCACGCAAATTGGGTTATATAAGCGTTTTGGATTCATTAAAATCGATTACAAATGAGCCGGAGGATGCAACACAAACTCAAGCTGATGAAAAATATCGTGTTGTTGCACCAGAGGCGATGCATGAGTCGTTTATGTCGGATTCGGAGGAGGAAGGCGGTATGTATGAGTCCAGATATTTTTTGAGATATTTTATGCGCATACATACAAACATTTATATATATATACATATGTACTTGTACATATATACTTAAGCAGAAACATTTGTACAATATAAGACATTACATTAATATCATTTCAATTTGCTTGGTTCATCATCATCTACTCGTACATCAACTCATGTGTCAAACAGAAGCACCCTTTAATTTCTTTTAAACATCTGCATTGAGACAAACAATTTCACAAACAATTTTTTTTGGTATTTCTATCGAATGTGTTAGGCCACAAATACTTCTTTTTACAATAACTGGTATAAAAAGTTTGACATGCTACTCGAATAACACAAAGTGAAGAAGCACACCACCAAATACGACACAAATTAACAGATCTTGCTTTAACCATTATGTGTATGTATGTGTACCGAAACCTCACTACCCACTACAAAGCAATATAAGCAACAACAAAATAAAAATTAAAGTAAAAAAAGAAAAAATCAAAATAAAACTAAAAAATTTCAAATTAGTTTCTTGATTTTTAAAAGAAAAAATATTTTTTTCATTTAATCAACTGTGTCTCAGGTGACACAAACGATTGGGATCCATGTTATGGCATTAAGGGTGATCGAAATACGAATGAAGACCACGTTTATCTTCCATATTACCAGGGCGAAACATACTTTATGTCTAGTAAGTCTCATACATTGAGCTTTACATACATGCATACGTTTAACCTTTATTAGTAAATAATATTCAATAAAACAGTACTGTGTGTACTGAATTAAATATTCGTATTTCATAATCAGTTGATATTTTTCTAACAAACAAAAAAAATAATCAGTTGATATTTTTCTAACAAACAAAAAAAAAAAAAAAAAAAAAAAAAAAATAAATGTTCCTTATAAAGTGTGTGTATGTGTGGTAGTGTTTCCATTAAAAATTATTACTGCTTTTATTTAAAAACGAATCGGCGTATACTTTTGTAAATATGTAAATATTTAGTAACATGTCAAAATTTTTAGACCACCTTTCACACTTTACGGGGGATATACAATATGTGTGTACAATACATAAATAAATATGCGCTTTGAATGTATATATTTATTAGGGTGATCCAGAATGAATTAAAAATAACCATATTTGTGATTTAAAATGAATTAATTTGCTTTGTTGTTCTAAATTTCTTTTACATATTTATATTAAAATCAACTAAACCTTTAAAATATTTTTCGTTAAAAAATCTTTAAAATTAATTAACTATATATTTTTTCTTTCGTACCTTTGTTCAATACCGATTTCATGAAAATCTTAACCTAAAATTTTAATTGCAATATATAAAAAATTTTTTAAATAAATTCTTTCGAAAATAAAACAAATTTTATTAATTTTGAAATTTTATTTGGAACTTCATCCTACGATTTTACTTTGCAAAGCTACAAAGAACTCGAGTTAACCAACAGACTAACCGTTTTCTATTCGCCCCTTCATCATGATCACCATGTTTGAGCTCTGCACTGTTGAGTCAGCCTTTTGTGTTTGTGAAATTCGCTTGTTAATTTCGCACCCTTCAAGCTGGCGGAAATGAAAGAAATTAAAGCAATTTAATGATACTATTGGCGTATTTTTTGTAAGTAAACAATTGGGAAGTTCTAAACAAACTTCAAAACTTATTCCGCATCAATAAATTCTAACTAATTTTGAGAAAAGTAAGAATTTTCATAGATTATCGAAACGAGCGGAATTTTATTAAAGAGTTTATTATTGGACCACCCTAATATATATTCTTCCTTTGAATTGCTTTCAAATATTAACCGAATAAACACAACAATCGAAAGTGGCCTTTGGTAGATCATGACCAATAAAAGGCATGCCACTGGAGTTGTCGTGTAGTAGAATTAAAAATTAAAACTTCCAAAACTACAATATTTAATATAAATATATATACGATTGCAATTTAGATAAATTCTATACCTATGTAATATTAAAACTAATAAAATTATTTCTTTTATAAAAAGTTTTTCAAATATTTTGCCGTTAAAAAATATCTCTGAGCAAAATAATTGTGAGAGATTGTATTTTAATTTTACCCGTGTCGATCACCCTAGTGCTTATAAAAATACATGCATACATGCGCACACAGATTGCTATGTACATATAAATATATACATATGTGATTACAATAAATGTTTTATAAGAAAATAATCTTGATGTTTAAAAGTTTCTTAGTGTCGTTGTGTAAATAATCTCAATACATTACATTACTAATGTAAATATACATAACACATACAGATATACATATGAGATCCACAATTAGGGGATTGCCCTAATTTTATAAAATCAACAAATGGAAAAAAATTACATGGAATTACAACTTGTCGCAAACAAAAAAATTAGATAAGAGAAGAATAATAATATAGTTAAAAATAAAAAACTATGATTTTGTGGTTTTACGAAATATTATTTAATTTAGTAAAACCTCAGATGATGCTCGAAAACTGTTTTTACAAGATCATACTGGGTTTTGCAATGAGAGGTGCTATTTTGATATTCAAAGAAACTTTTCCATTAAATAGACCGATGGTTTCGTTGCATGTATGGCACGTTGTACATCATAAAAAATCATCACCATCTCTCGATAGCGCAATCCATTCATTTTCAAAAAAATAAAGTCCAATGATCCCTGGACTGAACCGCAGAGTGCACCAAACAGTTATACGTTGAGGATGAAGAGGTTTTTCAATAATATATCTTATTTTTTCTGAGACCCAGATGCGACAGTTTTAGTAATTGACGCAGCCATCGAGATGGAAATGGGTCTCATCAGTCATGACATTTAAAGTAAAAATTTAACATATGTTAAATAAAAAACTTAAGAATCTAGGAAACAGTACGGAAAGTTTTGAAATTATTTTAAATATATCTTCATTTGAAATAGAGGAAATTTTTGAAGAAGGGTTTGTGATCACTACAGCGTAATAGTCTTTTTAGAAGAGTGCCACTGGATAGGAGTCTCTCAGTTATATAGAAACCGAGTTTCAATAAATTAAAAATTAGTCAAAAATTATTTTTTCATTCGTTGGGCATATCGGGCTAAATTTTTGATGATCGTCTGAGTTTTCGGTGAGCTTTCGACGAGAAATCTAAAATAGAGATCAGCGTACCTTTTCGTCGAAAATTAATGGATCTGCTCATAGTACAAGTATATGTATATAAATAAAGATATCTAAAACTTACTTGTAAAATATTTGTGCTGCAAATGAGGTAGATTATTTTGACTCCAACTAATCACACATATCATTCAAGTTATGTGCTTCCTGTTACCACAATCATTGTTTACATTTTCCTGCATTTATTCTCAGCGAGTTCACATTTGTAAATAACAGAAAAAATATTTTTAAAATTAGAAATACATATTCAAATATTATTTAAGTACTATTTGTCTAAGCTGCAATTGCATTATTACCAGCTTTCATATTTAACTCATCAGAAAATAAAAAATCTTGCATGTGTGTTTGTTCTTCACAGAGAAAAAAAAATAACAAAATTAATCATTTGCATATTTTTCTTCATTTTTTTTTATTTCTCTTCAAATTATCTTGCACCGTTTATGCCAATACCGCTAATAATCTGCATATTAATCGAAACTAATCGAAAACAAAATCGGATTGCAATGGAATGCCAAATAAATACTATACCAAAAAATAATGAAAAATCTCGTCAACTTAACACCACACAACCACCTTTGCCACTACCACGACCACCATCAGGCGAAGATAATATGTTATCCGATCAGCCATACCGTTATTTGACAGTTGATGAAATGAAATCCTTAGGCGATGATTCCTTGCCGATCGATGTAACACGCGACGAACGTATCGACTCGAATCGCATGATGACACACAGTGCTGAATATGCCGGCGGTGTTGGGGGCCAACCGCAACAGCAAGCCATTGCCGAGGAGCTAATAAGTCCACATAAGGCTCAAGTTCATGGTGCTGGTAAATCGATTGTTGATGGCATTTACATGGGTAATGGTTATCATGATGAACAAAAGTATGTGGGGTGAGTAGAAAATAAAGTTATGAATTTAATAGCAAGTTTATTTACGAGATTTTATTCACATGCAGCCGAAAGCTCTCTTGGAAAAGGTAGTTATACATGAAAATTATTTATTATTTTTTTGTTTTTTACAAGTAAGCAAATATTAAATTCACTCTTTGCGAGTGAAGATTTCTATAAGCGTTTAAGACAAATGTAGTAACGCACTGAAATCATCATGCTACATAAGTCATCCTCGATCTGAAGGCAACTGCATACTCGCACATCCATATGACATATTGTGGATTGTTTTCTGAAAATAGTTTTTTCCATAAAACTTCTTTTTTTATTACAAAGTTTGATCCTTGGCATTTTGCATATGTGAAAGACTACATCATTCACATGTCCGCCTTGCGAATTGGTGCAAATTTCGATCCCGTTGAGGCAATTTCCGATCATAAATCGATGCTAAATCGCACGATCTCGTTGGCCAATTGATATCGTCACGATGAGGGATTACTTAGTCAGGTAATTTCTCTCGCAATAAATCAAGTCGTCCGGGTCGTGTTCTTCAATTGCAGACCAAAAAGGTCGATTATCATACCACAACGCTCCAGATTGACAGTGACTGTTTCACCGTTGTCGCTTACAAAGGGGTAAGGTTTAATCCCACCTCCGGACCAAAAAGCGCACCAGCACCAGTAAGATAAGTTTTATTGGGTGTAATGGTCTCTCTTTAATTATTAAGGATTTTAGCCCAAAGTATGACAATCTTGCTTGTTTATGTATCCTCCGAGTGAAACGTCACTGAAGAAAACTTTTCGAAAAACGCCGTGCTTTCTACACTTCTACTTACAGCAGCGATATTTGAGGTGAAATGTTACTTTACAATATATGTCATGTCCGATTGGATAGTTAAGTTCGACAGATACAGATACAGCCCTGCACTTTTTAAACCACGAAATGGATATCCCTATATAAGCGTTCATCGAAAAAAATCATATATTATATATACAGTAAATTGTAAAGTCTTTATCAATTTTTAGTGATATTAAAAGTAATTAGGATATATTCCATTGTCTTACTCTGCCCTTTTCAGTTTTCTTGTTTCCTTCCTTGTGGACGCCCGTGGCGGTGCAATGCGTGGTTGCCGACACAGTGGCGTGCGCATGATTATACCCTCACGATCTACTTGTCAACCGACTCGCGTCACTTGCCGCTATGTTAAGCCCCAACGCACTATGCATCCACCACAACTAATGGAAGGTGAAGCTTTGGCAAGTCGAGTGCTGGAATTAGGACCGGTATCGACTAAATTTATTGGACCCATTATTATGGAGGTGCCACATTTCGCTTCATTGCGCGGCAAAGAGCGCGAAATTATCATATTGCGCAGCGATAATGGTGAGACCTGGCGCGAGCATACAATTGATAATTCTGAGGAGATTATGCATGATGTATTGCAACAGTGTTTCGAACCAGAAGGTATGTAAATGAAATATACATATAACATTTCTATTATATAAAATTTTATTAATTTTACACAATTTTTTTTTTTTTGGACAGAAATTGCACAACTTGAAGAACAAGGCGGTAATCATGTTTGCCGTTTTGTCACCTACGATTTTCCACAATACTTTGCTGTCGTTTCACGTATACGTCAAGAGGTGCATGCTATCGGACCCGAAGGTGGCATGGTATCCAGCACTGTGGTGCCACAAGTACAGGCCGTTTTCCCACAGGGTGCACTCACCAAAAAGATCAAAGTGGGCTTGCAGGTAAATCTCTTTAAACCACGCAAAGGTGTTGCACCAGAAAAATTACGTAAAATCAGCGTTAATCATGTACCAAAGAAGAAGCGTTTTTCGCTTATTTGGTAAATTATGCGTACCATGTAGTATGCACACGTATAAGTGAAAAACTATTATGAGCTAAATACAAGCAAACATACATATATACATACAAATATTAATATATGAGTGAGGGAGAACAATATCAGCTACAATAAATTATCAAAATTATTTATAACAAAATATGCATTAAGACATAGCATAACATAAGCATCTAACAGCTCTACATACATACAGTAGGTATGTATATGTGTAAATATGTGTACACATGCTGTATGTTTTTCATAAAACTATAAAATGTACTCATAACCAATATGCATTTATAGTATGAATAATAAATAGTCAATCGGTTAAGCATTTGCAAGTAAAAAATAAAATTAAATTAAAACAATATTAATAAAAATAATTTCCTTTTCTCTGCAAAAGAGACTTGCGCAATTTATATTATTAAGCACATTAAAGTTTCAAAATGTAGGTGTTTTATGAAATATAATTAGTTACACACGCACAATGTGTTTTCGGGTCTTGCTAAATTTAAATACGCATCACTTATGGTTGCGAAATCTGGAAATTCGATGACGTTTATGCGAATGTGAGAGATTTAAGAAATGGAATTTCAATGTTTTATTTCAATGTTAGATTTTGTGTACTAGAAGAAGGATTGGAAAAAATGTATTCTTACAGTTAAAAAATATGATTAAGTATACAAAATTTGTATTTATTTTTTTAATTAAAATATTCTTCTCTTGGCAATTCTATACAAAAGACCTTTCCTAAAAAATTTGAAAAATTAGTTTTCTCTTACTAAACTGACACAACTTCGAGTGTGCATTAAATGAGGGCATTAAATGAGAGCATTGAATTAGATAAAAGCAAAATTTTCAATTAATTTTTAGAAATTTGTTCAACCAGCACAATGTTTTATGAACAAAATATTACTAAATATGGAATGCAATGATCGGTTATCGACAAAAACAAATAACTAATAAAAAATCGATAATAATAAGAGCACAAGTGCAGCCAAACTGAAAAGGAGACTATCTAAAAGTCATATTTCTTCTCAGATTTCAGGCTCGTTTTCGTCGAGCGTAGCGGATGAATTGTGAAAAAATGAGTGAAAATAAAATAATATTTTCTTATTTAGCTTTTGAGCAGCGTTTGTTTTCATTGCAACCAATTTACTTATGTCTTGAAAAATTATTTAACTTTTAAACAAAAACTTTTGGTCATGAAATATTTATAGTGCAACAAAAATTAGGGTTCAAAAAGTATTTCAATATCATTTACCATAAAGCAAAGATAGCAAATATTACAAGAGAGATCAGCACAAATGCTTAAAAGCGTAGAATTCACAATTTAATGTTTGCAGAAGGAGAAGGAAAAGCAGGTTATGAAGATAGAAATCAAAATCGAACGAGGCAAAATTTAACTAGAAGCAAAATTAAGACAGCATGATCGTAACATTTCAACATGAAATATCAACAACAAGAATGTAATAAAATTAAATTATAAATCAAGCCTGATCACCACTTGCTATTGCAGGATTAATCAGAGCAAAATATTATATTTTCACCTAAATCGCCGGCTTAATTAAAAGCGTCCTATCTAAAAAAAAAAGAAATTATATACATATATTAAATATAAAATATACTACAACCGTTTACTTCATTCAATTCTCTACAATACAAAAGTAACCATTTATAAAAATAACAAAATTAAAATAAAATTAAAATAAATAAATAAGAAATGAAACAGCGAAATATTACGATTTCTATATAATCAAATCAAATGCTCTGACTATTAAATAATTAAATGAATTTGTGTTAAAAAAACTGAAATAAATGCAAATTAGTCACGCACTATTATATTTAGACTAGTATATATGTACGTATTTAAATAATTTACATTATACTCTACATTAGTTCACTACAGCCTATGGTATTAATTAATTATTCAATGCATATTTACATATATATAACAAGTAAAACATACGTGAATGGAATTTAATGAAAAATACCCAATAAATTTAGTTTCAATATAAACTTTAAATGAAAATGTTTTTTTTTTGTTGCTGCTATTTAGTACTCATTTTATGCACATTTTTTTACACATAGTTTAACGCTTCTATCATCCAGTACACAAGAACAACCAATTTGGCAGTGCAGATGGAAAGATGAAAGAAAATCTCTTAGTAAATATATTTTTTGTAGCAGTTGTTATTGCAATTGGGTCTGGATTAAGTGTGCCTCGAATGTGTCAAAAAAAAAGACGAAGACGAGATGTGTATATGCATTTGTATGTGTGTGTGTGTAGTTTTCACATACATATATAAAATATATACAAATTGATTTTTCAACGGCCCTTAAAAATACATACATAATTACAACTATAAAATTAATTCAATTACAGTTAACAAACAACATTTATTTGCTAAGAATTTGTAATTTTTTAAAGTTTATCAGATAACTAAATTTATTGGGAAGCTTATGGGCCTGAATATTTGTACAATAATACATACATATTGTGACTTCATTTTGAAGACACAAATTATAGCCTACTTTACGGATGAAATTCAACTGAACTCTGTTAACATTGCAACTAAAGCATCAAACTGAATTGAGGGCAATAAAGGAGGAAAGTTTTCCAACTTCGTTCTAAATTTTGGTATGCTTTTCTGTAGATGAAAGCAAACTTAATTACAATTACTGCTGTTCCACCAAACATATTGACAAATACAAATAACTCCAACGAAATGTCATTTCATGCTTAAGAGCAGTTCTTTCTTAAAAATGCACGCATATCTATAAATGTTTCGCGTTTACGCTCAAAAGCTCTAAAATTCAAATCATACAACAATAAATATAAAAAAAAACAAAAGATACACACAAATCACATCTAACGTAATTCAAGTCACTTTTGTAAGTTTTGTAAAAAAAAAAAAAATCATGAAGTTCTTTTTTAGCAAATCTTAAATTAGTTAAGAAAAACGCATACCTCTTTGTAGCTTTTCGATCACGCTTTACGTGTTTACACACACCTCTTTCCGCTATAATACAATAGGAGCTTTTATTTTAGTCAGTAAGTGGCCATTCTCATGTTGAAATAATCATTTGTATATTTAGAAAGAAGAATTTTAAGCAAAAAAATAAAAAAGAAACTTAAATTTAAACAACAACATCAACAACAACAATGGTAATCACAAAAATGTACCGTTCATTTCTTGTGTTTACCTCATTCTAGGCACAACCAGTCGATCCAGATCTAACTGCTAAACTACTTGGTCGTGGCGTCGCAGTCTCGCCAATTGTAACGGTCGAGCCACGGCGTCGTAAATTCCATAAGGCCATCACATTGAGTATGCCCGCACCCAAGGCACATAGCCAGGGCATGATAAATCAATATTCCGGCAATACACCCACACTACGCTTGCTCTGCTCCATAACAGGTAAGTTCGGATAGTTCTTTTTTTGCTCAGTTGTACTCAATGTACTTTATACTAACAACTATTGAGATTAGCCTTGAAAATGAAAAAGAAGAAGCAGTGCTAAAAATACTAGAATTATTGAATTTATTAGTAAAGAATTATATAAGAATAAAGATTTGTATTTGTAACTTAAGTTAGGTGTTCAATTATTTAATATTTCTTTTCTAATTCTTTGTTAGTTCTTACAAATAGTAAATATTTGTGTTGAGTATAAAATTTTTAGTTTATTGTTTGTTTTGTGTTTGACTTTGTGGAAAAAGTTAGTATTATTTTTTACAAACTACTTTTAAAATTAATATTTTTTTTTTAAAAACTACATACTCACATACTTAATTATGTATATTCTCCTATTACATTTGTTATAACCGTTCTCGCTCCTCATAATGCTGTCGGTCTATGCGACTGCCCTAAGTCAATTCGTTCATATTTCATTATTAAACGGCCAACAAATCGGTAGATAGTTTAGAGAAAACCTTTAAATCGCAACGGAAGTAGTGTTTATTAAATAAATATTGGATATTGCACATCCATTTCAAAAGAGAAACACATCTTGTGGAGGCATTCGGTAATTCCTGGTTAATCGGCAGCAAACCACTCAACGATTAATAGACCATTTTAACCTTTTTATTAATACTTAAATTAATTTTTTATGTTTTTATTCACTATAACAGTACATTAAGGCATTCACTCATAATTTTGATTCATTTTAGCTTAAAAAAGTATAAAATTGTGGTTGTCAAAGTACTTCGGCGTTCTAAAGCTCTTAGCTTGTGCTTTGGTAATACTTTGAACTGGGTGTAAAAATAAATTTGAAAAGTTGAAAACCTTTTCAATTTTATTCATAAAATTTCGCAATAAAACGATTGGTAACCAATTATATATGTATGTATGCATATGCACGTATATTCGATTTCATTAAATAACGTCCGGAAGAACCGAGTGGTTAACATTGGGTACTAACACTCGAAGGCCAGGGTTCCAGTACTGGTTTGACCACACAACCGAAAATTATTGAAAACTATTTTTTCTAATTACGCTTGTCACTCGCAAGGAAATCTTAAGCTCTCCGATTGTATTTCGAGATGAAAAGCAAAGTTCCTCATTAAAATTCATCGGCCGTTCGGACGCGGCTTAGAATAACTGTTCCACCATTTGTTGGAAAAACATCAAACGCAAATGTGAGGAGGAGTCCAATTGCATATACAGTTGCCAGATCTATTGCATTAAAATACATTATTATATAAATATTCATAAGTTTTCTTAGTCTTAAATATATAACTTATACTAATAAAAATTAGAAAGTAAAAATTCATATGATTTGGCACAAGGAAAGTATGCGTACAAACTATAAACTTTAAGTGCAGAAGCTTGAAATGGAGCTTTTGATACCGTTAAATTAGAATTAACGGTGATAGCAGTACTAGAAACTTTTTGATGATCATTTTTTAGTGAATTTCATCATTTTATAAAAAAGATCGCAATAGGAAGGAACGAAAAAGAAATATACCCCGATTTCAGGGAAATCCTTGAAAAACTTCGTAATGAAGGGCAATCGTTGTAGAAAGTTGGCAAGTTTGTGTGCAGAGCCCACTCCTTCATATAAAGAGTGCTCGAAAATTTTAATTCAACCGGCTCTGTTGAGTCCAAACCACGCTCTGGAAGGCCGCCAAAATTGATCGATCGTGAAAAACGGGATGATGAAGACGGTGAAGCCCAAACACGGACTAACAACTTCGAAAATTACACAGGATATTAAGCAGAAGTTTGGTAATGAGCTTCATGATGATACCATTCGCACATTTTTAAAAAAGAAAAACCTAATTAAAGGGCGAAAACTAGTGTGGAGTAAAAGCGGTACAGCCTTCAATGCGCAAAACCTTGCCCCAACTATTAAGCACGGTGTTGGCGGAGTGATGGTGTTAGGTTGTATGGCGGAAAATGGAGTTGGCAATCCCGTTTTTATTGATTCCATTATGAACCAACAAGGCTTATTTACAAGCCTTAAAAGATAACTTGTAGGAAGGCAGGGAAAATTGGGATTGGCTTCTGACTTCTTGTTCCAGCAGGATAATGACAAAAGGCATACTGCACATACTGTGAAGCTTTGGTTGCTCTATAATCTGCAAAACCAGTTGCATTCGCTACCACAGACGCCGGACTTGAACCCCATAGAACATATATAAGATTTCGTCGAACGCAGGATTCGTCTACGGACAATTACTTAAAACATCTCTCCGGACATCTCCCCGGACGGAACCCAAAAAGTAGTCCAATCGATGCCAAAACGTTTGACAAAAACAATAAAAAGAAAGAGGTATCTACTTCCTTATTAAATTTCAGTAGATTTTATCAATAAAGTACATTTTCCGTCAAATCATATGAATTTTTACTTTCTTATTTTTATTAGCTATTTGTTATATATTTAAGACTAAGAAGACTTATGAATATAAATAAGAATAAATGGGTTTATAGCATAAAAATAAACAAAGTCGATATTTAATACAACTTACGTTTTTTTGCCATCAAAGCTACGAGTTGAGTGTGTAGGCGTAGTTATTCTGGTAGTGTACGAGGGGTGGCGGCTGATAAGTTCGTGACCTAAAGTACTTAATGAAACAAATGTATGGTTTTATGTTTTTTTATTATATATATATCATACCACTGAAAAAAACATTCATTAGATTTCTCTTAAAAATGGTTTTTTTTACGGCCGCCTTCATCTCATTGTTGTCTGAAAATCTTCGTCCCCGTAATTCCTTTTTTAAATTAAAAAAAAAAAAGAAAAGTCACGGGAGCCAGGTCCGGAGCGAGAGGTGTGAGCGGGTGTGTTGTCTTGAAGAAACAGCACTATTTTGCCACATTTCATCTGTACGACTGCCTCACGCGCCTGACCCAACAAATTAGCGTAATCACTCACTCTCCCAGAAAATGGTAGCCGACTAGCACTTTGAATTTTTCTTGCTTTCAAGTTTCATCAACTGTTGCAATTCGATTGCAAAGTTCATTCAAATGTTCATATAAAATCTCTCCAGCCCGTTCTTTGCTAATCAGTATTCTCTTTGATATCTGCCACGATTTAATTCTTCTTTTTTCTTCTTCTTCTTCTGAACATTTTCCTCGGTCACGGTTGAAAAATTTGTATTATTTATACTAATCATGAGTCCCGCAATTAGTATTATCAGTAACGAGATGATGTCATCTCTAAGTACTATAAGTCGTGAATTAATCAGCCGCCCCTCGTTCATAGATAGAACTACGGTAAAGATAAATATTATGAGGCAGAACTCTCATAATCATTCTTCTTTTTCTTCACTGACGTAGCCCCTGCTTTCGCGTTTGTAGCCGATTTAATAACAATACGCCATTTATTCCATCTTTCCTCTGTTTGAGACCAACTGGGAATATCAAATACAGCTAGGTTATTCTCTACCTGGTCTTTCCAACGGAGATGAGGTTTTCCTCTTCTACTGTATCGAAAACTTACAAAGCTGGAGTAATTTTATCCGTCTGCGGTATTCACCGTCGTCCATGCTTCTCATCCACCAGGACGGGAATAATCAAGGACTTGTAGAGTTTGGTCCAATTTCAACAGACTCTGCAAATAGGGAAACTAAGACAGCTTTTTCTGATGTCATTGGATTTTCTAACCCTACTTACTACTACATCGGAATAAAAACTAAATTTACACATTTACAATTCTTTAAAAAGTTAGTTATTTATTCATGAATATCTATTTTGTCCCCTTCAAAGTAATACCCATGAGATATTATACACTTGTGCCAACGGTTTTTCCAATCTTCAAAGCACTTCAAAAAATCATTTATTTATATTGTTCATGCTGTCTTTATCTCATCAATCATAGCGTAACGTCGTCCTTTCATGGGCCTCTTCAGTTTGGTGAACAAGAAAAAGTCCAGGAGGCCAGATCTGAGGAATACGGTGGCTGCGGCATCATTAGTATGTTGTTTTTGGCCAAAAAGTCGCGCACAAGTAACGATGTGTGAGCAGGGACGTTATCGTAGTGCAAAAGCCAATTTTTGTTCTTCCACAAATCCGGGCATTCTTGGCGGATTGCTTCGCGCTAATTGCGTATAACTTGCAGGCAATGTAATATTCCTTATTGACCGTTTTACCCTGTTTCTACCCTGTGGCAAGAACTCATGATGCACCACGCCCCTGCAATCGAAGAAAACTGTCAGCAAAACTTTCATTAAAAATTAAAAATCGAAGACCATCCAAAACACGTGCAAGCAAAGCAGCTGTCAACAATTAAGTGAACATACAAAATGGCGAGCTTGTCGGCATAAGTGACAGACATGAGTATCAACATAACGCCACAAAAAATCGAAATCTGATTATACTTAACCCGCGAAAATTCAAAATTCGGGATATTTTTTGAAAACACCTCGTAATTAGTCAATTGCAGTAGATAATACAGACACACATGAAATTTTTCCTAACAATTATTTATTGTCGATAAATTAAAAATTTATCTAAATTAAAAATGTGCTTTTGGAAGTGATTTGTGTCTCTTTTAAAGTGGATGGGCTATATATATATATATATACATTTTTATTAAATACTTTGTTAAAATGAATCATACACACGCACATGTAAAATACTTAGACCCATTAATATCAACATTATTGAAGGTTTTGTTTAATTATATTTACTTGAGTACCAACAAGTTTTTCGGATTGTCCACAAATAAAAGATCTTACTTTTTCTGGAAAGAAGATACAAAGCTTTATGAAAACATCATAGCAAACATACCGAGAACTGAAAGTTAGGAAAACGGAAGGCTTAGAATTAAATTCAAATAGAGATTGCCCGAGACTTCATCCGCATGGATTTCTAAGGTTCTAAAACGGTTTTTATTAGGTTTTAGCTTTGGGTTTTGTATTATAACTTATAATCTGCTATGGTAAAATCTTTCAAAGAGATATAAAAGTTTTCCATATATTAGTCTAGGCAAAGAGCTATCAATGTTGTAGATATCAAGCAAATCGAACTATGAACACGATTTTCGCGATCACATATATTATACAATACTCGTATGACAAATCTCCACATATTGAACTGGGCAAAGAGCCTGAAAAAACGTGCGCTCCTGCTCAATTTAGGTAAGGAGCAACGATCTAAAAGTATATTCAATTTTTTCAAGACTCAAAATTTTCGAATAAATCGGTCCCGGGTCCACAAACCTTTCAAGTTCATGTCTTGCGATCAGTGGTTTAGGCTATGGATTGATACGTCAGTATTTCAGTACAAAGCCTTTTATATACAAACATAGAGTAATGGTTTTAGACGATGCAAGATGATTGTGGATTTCATTAGCTTACAAGAAAGCTGTGTCGACCAAATCAGCCGAAAGATATTGCGATGAAAAAGTTTTGCAACCGTCTCAGTGACGATAAAGCATTTTGAAGTCTCCGAAAACATCGATGAACTGAAATGCTGGTTTCATTTAAATGTTAAAATATCAGAAGAAATATATATCTTCACTGTTTGAAGCCCATGAAGCCTGTAGAATGACAATTTTGTTGAGTTTTTCTTCAAGTTGTTGAATTATATCAAAGTCACCGTATAACTTACACAGTTCATCGTTTTATCCTTGTGGTATTCGCCGTAACCAATGCGCAAAGGACCATAAATCGTTCGCAAAACTTTTGTCTTGAAGGACATGGGAATGATGAGTGACTTGTAGCGTTTGGTTTTTGTTCATCAGGAGAGGATTTGACTTTCTCCATTGGTGTTAATGCTGGTCTCTGGATAGACAAAATTATCTACGAAATCGAAGTTATGACTGTCAATAATTAGTTGGGAGCCAAATACTCTCATTCACTGTCAGACCCTGTCAGACGCCGATAATATGAAGAATTCGGTTCGGTATCTCTCGAAGGTGTGGCAAGGTATAATTTGATTACTGTATTATATATTTCATATAACATTCATATCACAAAGACAAATGATTTGACAAAATAAACAAAAATCAATCTCATCATCATACGCCAGCAGTTGCACACTGTTGTGAAAGATTGGTCATTGTCCAGCATCAAAATGAAGAAATTCCACAAAATTTCGGTACCTCGTTTGGTACCGAATAGCTCGAAAATGTTCTTTCCAATTCTGAATGCGCTTCTGATGTTGCCCAGCATCAGTTTCCACAGCCTGATGAATTCTGAAGGAATTCCAAATTCAGACATAGCGGCGAAGGGGCAGCTCTTCACTGATGAAAAGGTGATTTGTATCGATTATTTTCTTTCGGGGTTTTCAAAGATTTGACGCATAGTGAATATCTAGTAAATGATGGTGTGCATTAGACTTTCGCACAATACTCTTAATAGGACCTTATATGATATGTTAATGAGGATAATCTCACGGTAATTGACGCCTACGTGGTGTCCCTCTTTTTATGGATTGGAAAGAGCAAACGTAGGAAGTAATGAATGTACCCAACTTTTCACCGCCATCATTGGCTCCAGCCGGTCTGTTGTTCTGTAATCGTTATTCGATCCTCGTCATAGTTCGGTAATAAAACGTCTTTTCCATCATCCTCGATTGAGGTTCCAGTTCCGCTATGTCCGGCATTCATTTAGCAGGCTGAAGAATTGTTCCCTCCATGCACGACCAGATACCCACATTGGTTAAGACATAAGTATGCCGTATTTTTCATAGAGTTTTCGAGCGTTACCATTGATGGCCAGCTTCTTAAGCTATTCTTACTCACGCATTCCGGCCTTTTTCTTGTTTCATTTGCAAAGACGTCTTGCATCCATCTTGAGCTCTAGCTGAATACAACTAATAAATTAAATATGCCATAAATTTGGTAATTTTATTAATGGATTATTATTCAAATGCCAACTGCCGGCACAAAAAACTGTTATACAAGTTGATGACTAATTTTTTCTAAATTCCTTTAGCACAAAATTCTGTAAACTTTTTTTTTGAGAATAAGACATTTTACCCTCTGAATTTGGTTAATATCTAATCTTTAATCTTATTAATATTAGAAATTATAGCATTCTTAGCTTGGAAGAAATATTGGGTGTAGCAAAAAGAAATCCATTATCGAATGCTTTAATTTTTACTTTTCGTATCCAGCCTTACTGAAATGGTTCCAAACGGCTTTTGTGCAATCTTTAGCTCTTGGGCAATCGAAAGAGTATTTGCATGACTCGACAATGCCCAGAATTTTATCGAAATTTGGAAAATTTGTTTTCCACTCCGTGCAGCACCGTGTGCATCAATATTAGCGGATTGAAACCGAAATTTTCAGCCGCCTGGCTAGAGTTTTCGCCCTTATCGAAGAAAAACTGTCAAATATAGGGTATTTTCTCCTTGTTAGTGTCCATTTTTGACGTACGTTCAAACAAAGCTGAATCAATCAATCACAAAACTGTAAGAAAAGTTGTTTTAGTACGAAATGTCATGTTTCTAACGCAATCTAGCGGAACCCGATCGGACTTACACAACGCGAGATACAGATAAATAACATCATATATTGGAAAAATAATGGATTTCTTTTTACTATTGCTAATATTAACTACTTAATTTTTTAGAAAAATCGAATATTTAGAATTGTAGCAATCGAAATTTTGTACAAAGTTATTACAAAAACATTTTTTATGGTGTTTTCAGAAACATAAGGTTTCACATGTTCTGTTAGGAAAAGAGTATTTTTTTTAATGTTATTAGTTCTTCGTTTTACGAATCTATATTATTAAAAATTTTTTTAATCTTTGCCTAAATTTTTAAAATTTATCAGCTACTAAATTCCAATTTAATATCACAAATTTAGAAGGTAATACAAATTTGTACGTGATAACTTCAGCGCAATACAATAGTCTAAGCCCACCTTAACATATGTAAATTTTCCTTACACGTCACTTCTAATTAATTTTACATCTTGAAAAGAACTCAATAAGATTATGATTAAAATCGGGTTATTAATTTATTGGTTTTAATATTTTATTCGGTTTTTTTTTCTTAGGAGGTTCGTAAAGTTTTTGTTTTTACACATTCCATATTTAATTTGTTATCTTTTATTTGATTTTTGGTTTTGTTGTTAATTATTTTGAAATGAATTAATGCTCTTTTGGGCATTATTGTATATCTTAATAGCGTATTGTACAATTAATAGAAACTCGATCATTAACAAAAATTCAATACATCGCAGTTCGATAAAAATTCTATAATTAACTTCAATGTTAAAAACAGTTTTTTCGAGAAATTTCGGTTACTAAATTTGTAGTTGACTTACATATATCATACATATTATTTTTAGTATTTTCTTATTTATTGAGCCTACAAATTTTCATCGTACGTACTAACGTCCTACGTACGTGTATGTTTGTATGTTTTATATGAAAAAAAAAAACAAATATAACCGTTATAGTGTATAGTAAATATGTCAGTACAAATATTAGCTAAAATATCTTTAAAACGTTGCGTGTTTTTCGCTTAAATTATCTTTTAAATTTATCATATTTGTATGTGTATGTATGTACTACTTCGTATCAAATTTGTGTTCTTAGTACAATAAATACGTATGTATGTATGTACTCGTACCTTCATAACACTTGTACAATCCCCTCTTTCTTGCATTGACACAAATATACAACACACGACGCTACACAAAATCAAATCATCTGCCAACAATTTGAGGTTTTCGATAATTTCCTTATTTTTCTATACTTTTTCATTTTAACTTTAATTTTTATTCTACAATAATTTATTTTCTCTTTTCTTAATTTGTTTTCTTTTTCCTTTTACGAATTTTCTTAGTTTGTTGTTTATCTAATTTAAATTTCAAAATGTATTCAATTCGTATATAATTTTGTACTAATGCGTAAATGCATATGTGCACGCATACCATTCTTTTATTCCATCATTGAAGGTGTATTTCGGAAAAGATCTCTAAAAGGTAACTAGCTATTTCAAAATCACAAACATGTATGAAATTTCAAATTCAATTAAATCAGACAAAAGCATTTTTGTATTTTGAGTTTTTCGTTATTAGATTTACATTTCTGAAACCTGAACTTAAAGTCTAATTTTACCCAGAAAAGAAAAAATCTTAAAAAAAAATACACGAATTAAAATTTTTCTTTCATAAAATAATTAAACAAATATAATATTTTAAATTTTGCATATGATTAATTTTACAATTTTCGATCAAACAATTGCAATTTTATAACAATAATCTAATACATACATATATGTATAATATGCTTTGAAGCAAAACTTATTTTCGAAATATATTCAATTCATTTAGTTTTTTTTATTTTTGTAATTTTAGTTTTTTTTATTTATATTATTCGCCTTCGTTTCTCACAAATCTGCAAATTATGATTTTAATAATTTTTTTTTAGCATTTCTAGCTGCAAATCATTTGATTAAGCGTATGTTTGTTTTGAAGTTGGTTTTCAAAATTTTGAATTTTAAAATATTTAAATACTGGGGTTGTCAAATTGGGAAAACTTAACGAAAAAGATATTAAAATGATGTTAAGAAGGTTGAAAAAATTTTGGCGCCATATAATGTGGCAACGGGTAAGAAAAATATGCATATAAACTATATTATATAGAAAATGTAAAAATTTTAAAAATATCAAACTTAACCGTTGTTCACTATTGGGTGACTATTTTTAAACCTTAAAAAAATTTAAAAAATGCTAAATGCTTTTCATAGTTTAAATTTTTCCAAAAGTAATGTATACAACTGTAATTAAATCACTGTAAATATTTTTTATAATAATGCATACGAATTCTCTTCCTCACCAGACAACCTCTGTATAAAGAATGCAGAATAATTGGAAGCAAAGCACTATTTACTTGTATATTTTTTTGTATAAAATAAGAGCTATACACGTATGCACAGCGAATGCATAAGCTAATAAAGCAAATATTAACTAAAATGACAACTGAATAAATCTTTCAGCTTTGCATTAATTTTTAATTTACAAATGCGCGTTTTTTGCTACTAAAGTACAATAAATTCAATTCAATAAATTTCTGCACATACATATGTATAATTTAGGCAACTTCTAACAAAATTTATAAAAATAAAAAAGGAATCATTAAAAAAATCGAGTTTATACTGCAAGTTACTCTTTGGTCCGTGAAATTTTTTTTTTATTTCGATATTGAATTAATTTTATTGTCATTGGTCGGTTTTAGTTTCAAATTAAAGTACTAGCTGTCATAAAATAGGGGGCAAGATGCAATAAAACTACAGTTTAAATATTAGAGATTAGTGTAAAGTTTTTCTGGCGTTTTCAAAAGTTTACTTCGTTATTAAAATCGGAAGCTATCGCTAACAGCACTTTAACTCACTCGGTTTTTTGTCAGTTTCACAAAATTCAGCCTTTGGTGTATTTTAAATTCAGCTGAGTAGAGTTGCATTTGCTACTAAAATCTAAGCCTGTATTGGCTCGCTGAAAATTTATAGAAGAAAAAAATATAAAAAAAGGAGATGAGTAATATATGCTTCTTGTGGTTCGCCATTCGCTAGAAGATTAGGCTTTGCCGGTAATGATGTAAGGTACAAATCGATTTAAACACACTTGTAATTACTTGCAAACTTTCTTTCAAATTTCTTTTACAAACTGAAATGTTTTTAAATCAATGTAGTCAACTTTCTCATTTATATCTTTATACTCACGGTTCAAATCGAATACTACTCATAATATAAGACTCTAAATAAATTGAATTATTACACATAATCAAAGTTATGAAGGTAGCTCGATTTCAGTTAAAATCTACTTAAATTTGCAATATAAATGCTATATTATGATAAACCTCAAACTCATCTATGACTATGTCAAAAATATGACTATAATTGCGGAGGTTGAAGAAGAATATGCAAAGACTTAGTTCGTTTATGAGATTTGTGTTTTCAAATTTTTTATGATTTGCGTACTACATATGTATCTAAATGTGTTTTCAACTAATTAACAGTATGTTTTCATACGAGCTTAAATAAATATGGAAATTTTATTTTTAATTCTGAAAAGCTATTTCAATATTTCAAATTTAATTAATTTTTAATCTGTTCTCTTAGAATCAAAGTTTCGTTATATTTTGTACATATGCATGTACGTTTGAAATTAATTAAGATTTGCACAAGAGTTACTACACGGTTGAAGCGCATTATTTGAGTTTATTTTTCGATTTGATCTCCACAATGTTGAAATTTATGAACACTGTTTTCAATTAAAAAATTTACTTTATTTTGATTGTTGATTTTGAGAGAGATTAAAGTTAAAAAAAAAATTAAAAATACAAATTTAATAGAAAAATTAAGAATTATGCATACTTTTTTAATTTAAATGAATTTATATTCAATTGAATATGTTCCTAAGCCAAACTCGATACTATTGAAGCCGGTGGGTGGTAGAAATTTCATGCCAGGTCGCGTGACAGATTGACTTTGACATATAAGATAATTACGTGCAACTATGCCAATTGAAAACTAAGCAACGCTGACGCAACTCTAAAAGTTCGTTCACTTTCATCTTTCTAGTTTTCAGTTTTTTTTTTAAGTTTTCCACAAATTCTATAGCATTGAATTTGAAAATTTTAAATTTATTTCAATTGTTAGTTATATTTTTAACTTCTCGATAGAATAATAATTGAGGAGATTGATTGATGTGGCAAAATTGGAAGCGAAACGAAATGAATGGCAGCGAATTCAAGTTCTTTCATTCATTGATCGTAGTGACTGTCAAAATTATTTTCCATATGTATCATATAATTATATTTCGTTTTTTTGCTTTGATTTACTTAGATTTTCCAACGTAAGCGTGAAAATTTTGAGAAATGTAATTTTATGCTGTGTTATGAGCGAAAAAACAGTGGAGCAGACTTTGACAACAGCTATACATGAGCAAAATCAAAATTGTTCTTGTTCATAAATTCGCCTTAGTTGGAAGTTAGAGAATGACAAAATTTCGGGGAACTTGAAGTCATCTTAAAATAGCTTTTAATTGACCTAAATGGTGCATATGTAGCATAATTTTTATTTTTCGTTAGCAAAAATTTTGTAATTATTTCATAACTTACAGATAGGCGCTGTTATCAAGAAATAGACACGAAAATTTAACAGTCTTCAACGGGTTGTGTAGAAAGATTTGACGGCTTATAGTAAAAACTAAGTTCAAATATTCCTTAATTTTTTAATTCTCTGGTTTTCATTGCTTTAATATTTATATTTAATTTATTAAATTTTCGTTCCTTTGCTAGCCAAAAACTAAAAATAAATATACAAATTATTTTAATATTCTTGAATTGTCTACTGTTTGTGGTACCAAAGAGAACTTTTCTGAAAGTGCAGCCTGAATGTTATTCAAAATCATTTGGTAACTGCATAAGATACTATATTAATTAAACAATAATGCTTCTGTTTTTGAATGTGCAAATTGTTTTTCTTAATAATTCCGAGTATAAACATTTAAAGTAATAAGAAATTTTAACTCAAAAACAATTCAAAAAGTTACTGATTGGAAAGTAATCTTATTAAATATTTAAATATATGAAAAAATATATGCTGAAATAAATGCAGCTTACATAATTCACACTATTTTCATGCATTATACATTTAAATATTTTTTTTCTTACATTTCACTCATATTACTCAGACTAGATTTTCAGTTCACTTACATATAATAAATTCGTTTCGTATTTTATTTTTAATTAATTTTGTTATTTATTTGTTAATTTTAAAGTTGGCAATTTTTCAATATATGTTTCGTATAAAATACCTTCAAGTCTTTTGCTTTGCATTTGAACACGTACACAAGAAAACAAAATCTTCACAATCCATTGATTTTAATTATTAATAGCGCATGTTTCCAAAAAGGACGATTAGAAAACAAACTAAAAAATTAATGAATAAAACAAAACAGCAACAGAAAATTATGAGCGACAATAAACCACTATATTGTACAACAGCAACAACAACAACAACAACAACAACAACAACAACAGCAACAACAAATGAGCTTTGAATCTGATTTTAGAAGTATAACCATTTGACAACAATATATTACTAATCTATATATACATTTTTAATGCTAATTAGCGCTATTTTATCAAGCTGCTTGAAAATTGCGATTCTATCTCAGTTTTAGATTTTGCATCCATACCTCACGATTTCTACTTACTACTTTTCTACTGTCTTCTTTAGAAGCTTACCATTAAGCTTTTTTATATATTTTTTTATTTCAATTCATTCATTTAACAGCGACACCATTTAAATTTTCTAATTTAATTTTTATAATTTTTTTTACTTAACATTTTTTGAAAAACTTTTTCCTTAAGTTTTTGCTAATGAATTTGTAGTAGAAAAAAAAAATCTTTTTAAGTTTAATTCATTATTTAAGAGTAATATTCACATGGCTAATGTTGGGTGCTTCAAATTATTTAGGTGGTCCATCTCGTGCACAATGGGAAGATGTAACTGGATCCACACCGTTGACCTTTGTAAATGATTGTGTGTCATTTACGACAACCGTCTCTGCAAGATTTTGGTTGATGGACTGCAGAAACATATCGGAGGCTACCAAAATGGCAACCGAGTTATACAAGTGCGTAAATTTAAAGCTAAAAACACACTATTTTTATGAGCGATAAATTTGAGTTTGAAGAGCGATTGAGGACAATTTTATTATATTTTTTTGACAATAATAATACATACATGTAAATGCGATTCTTCTATTGAATTTAGACAGAATGTAGCTAACAAGTTTTACTTGCATTGACAAATGCCTGATAAAGTGATATCCACTCACTGTTGTAAGTGGTGATTGACAAGAATATTTTTTTTATTTAACTATTTTAACTTTAGGATATTCGCATATAAAACGAGTTAAAAACATAAGTGTACAATAATATCATATGCCAGGTTTAAACTTAATTTAAGGTTAGCATGACCAAACATTTATTTACTATTTACGAGTATTAATTGATTATTTAAACTTTTGGTATGTTACCCAGAAGTTCTGAATGGAACTAAACGGCGTTTCCAACACAAGTGAAATACGTGAATTGAGATTGCAACTCGACAAATAAGATCAAAAATTCCTTAAAAAATATATATTATATTTCGATTCTTTATAGTGAATTTCGTCGAGTGTATTCCTATCATAATCATTGTATTACGACTTCAGTAAGTTGTATGACAGTATAAGAATGGTAAGAGATTGAACAACGAAAAATTCAAATCGCTTTTATAGAAATTAGGTCCTGAGTGAATTTTTCCATAACCGCCTGCATATTTGAATTAAAACTAGTTTAGCAGTTTTAAAGATATTCCATCGTAATTTTCTAAGCTGGCGGTATACTCGTAAAAAGTATTAGACAGTTTTAACAATCTGTTTATTTTTGACTGAACTCTCAATTGACCATAAAGATTTCATACTTCGCTATAATCGTTTAAAAACTACATTTCCTAACATTTCCAAATTTAATCTAACTGCTATACATATATATTGGGATTAAAAAGTGAAATTTTTGAAAAAATTAAAGGATTTCAACTCTTTATTTATAACAAAAAGCAGCCAGCCAATTCCTTTCTCACTTTTACTGCCTAAAAAAACGGCTTGAAACTAATATTTCAATACATCCATAGATATATATAAAGCTATTGCAAGAGTAATTGAAAAATCTTCAAGTTGAATATCTTATATGTATACGGCAAGAGCAAACTCTTTTGAGAAAATACGTTTAGTGTAAAAAACTCCAAAGCGGAATTATCCCATGAAATTTTTGTATCATTAGTGGAATTGCATTATTTCGGCTCTTGATAGAACAATTGTTTTGACAGCTTTTAAGTTCCGACAAATTTTCATTTTCACCAAATACAAAATACTGAAGGGAATACAAATTGATGCTCAAGATTCTAAACAGCCCTTGAGTACATATTAATTTAATCTTTTTCTTTCAATTTCATCTTTAGAGAGGTAATCCACGTACCATTCATGGCTAAATTCGTAGTTTTCGCCAAGAAAGTGGAGCCATATGAAGCCCGATTACGTGTTTTCTGCATGACCGATGATCGTGAGGATAAAACTCTCGAGAAGCAAGAGCTTTTCACTGAAGTTGCCAAAAGTCGAGACGTTGAGGTACTCGAAGGCAAGCCACAGTTTATCGAAATGGCTGGAAATTTAGTGCCAGTAACAAAATCTGGTGATCAATTGCAATTGCCCTTCAAAGCATTCCGAGAAAATCGTCTGCCATTCACTGTACGTGTTAAGGATCAGCATGCTGATATTGTGGGTCGTACGCTGTTTATGAAAGAACCCAAAGTTGCTAAGGGTGAGCCACCGCAACATCCTATCTGTATTTTGAATATTGTATTACCGGAAATCGTTATACCGGATACAACTACCGAGTTCAGCGATAAGATCACCACCGCCTACCGCAGTTCGCTCTACAGTTTGAGTAAACATCAGAATGATCATTATATTGGCGATATACGCATTGTTGACTTATCCAATTTACTGGGAAAGGATTGGATACAGTTGGCCTCTGAAATCGGTATAAGTACGGAAGAGATAGATGAGATAATCAATCAAAATACTGATAGTATTGCGCGGCAGGCCCAGAGCATGATCCGTCTGTACAAGGATAAACCTAATTATGATATACACGCCTTGGAGGCAGCGCTTAAGAATATCGGACGTGATGATATCATGAAGAAATGTAAAAGTGGACGACTTTCACATTCGCGTGATTTCGATGAAACAGATATCATGAAGAATTCGGAATCTGTCGAGGAGCTCGTGCGGCAAGAGAGTAAGTACATAATATTGAAAAAATAACAGAATTTACTTATAATTATATAATATATTTGCGCATTTAGGCAAACGTATTCAACAAATTCACGATCATGAGGAAGTTAAATACTCTGCCGAGGAGAAGGATGTGGAAGAATCTGAATCCGATGAAGAAATCACAAAACGCACTGTGGCCGAACGACGTGAGAAGATCGTAAAACGACTCTCCATCGAACGACAAATTCCCGCTTCGACTCAAAAAAAGGAGATTTCACGTGAAATCTCCGAAATAAAGCGTAAGAGCCTTATAGAGGACAAAAAGGCCATACATGAATCGGAAATAATGATGCAATTGCCAACAGATAACATAGTTAAGTCAACTGTAGCGCCAGATCAGGTAATGAAAATGAAAATGGGCAAAATGGATTCTGCGGAGATAAGTAAAAGTGATTTTGATAAGGAACTGACGCACAAGTTAAAGACTTCCGGACGTAGTTCGGAAGAGGAAGACTCCACACCAGATTCTAAGGATGATGAAAATACGAAAATAGTTAAAGACATTAGCGCTGTCGAAAAGTCAAAGAAAACGCAGTACTCCCCCATAACAACGGAACAAGATGCAACAAAACAACTAACGGAAGACTTTTTAAATGCTGAGAAACAAACTCAACTTCCGGTTGATGTAACCATTAGTGAGAAGTTCGTTGAGGAAGTTAAGGAGAAGGAAATGAAAATTTCGGAAGCGGTTGAGAAATCGAGCCAGAAAGTAGAAAAGATTATATCTGTATTTGAGAGTGGCAAGCAGGAAGAGGACGTACAAACAGACAAAGACAGCACAAGTAGTAAGACGTCTGTTACAACCGAAACCATACAAACTATCTCTGATGAAAAAGCTAAAGGTAGTTCTATTGAGGAAAAAATTGCCGACTTTGAAGCGAGAGGAGTTACTTATGATATGAAATCAGTGATACCAAAAGAGTTAAAGAAACATGAAGACTCACAAGTAGAGGAGCTCGAAAAGGAACATTATGAACCCATTAAGCCTTTTGATGAAACGTTAACCGAAGATTTTTTGATAACGGAACAGAACACTGAATTGTCTCTCGTAACAAAATCTACTAAAGTAGCTACTGACATCGATCAAGTAATAAAAGATACAACTAATATAACTACAACGACAGCTCCAGTGGCTGAGAAAAGGACATCTCTTGTTGAGAAAACGCCCGAGCCAAAGGCACGCTCAACCATTTTCATCGGTGAAGAGGAGAGTGCTGATGCTAAAACTAAAAGCACAGAAATCATAAAAGAAATCGGGGAACAGATTGAAAAAGAGGGCGCAACTACATCTACTGAGACGCGAAAAATAACAGAAGATTTCTTGACTATGGAACAACAGTCACAAGAGGAAAGAAGGAAGACTGTGAGTGAGCTGGCAACTTGCACAGCAGATTTAATGGAAACAACTGCTGAGATCTTTGAGACCACAACAGATTTGGAACAAGCAACGAAGGGCGTTGAGGATAGCAAAACGCACCTGAAGGCAGCCTCCAAAGAATGGATTGAGACCAGGCAAACTGACATTTCAATGCTCACATCAGATCTCACAGTAACAGCAAAGAAATTAGAAGATGAAATATCAACTGAGCTGTCGGCTAAGGTTATCGAAACTAAAGAAATCGCCCGGGAAACCAAGGCTGAAACTGTTGAGAAAGCGGAGAGCAAAATTGGTGATACTATGAAAGAGCTGCTTGAGTCCAAGGAGTTGGTGAGCAAAATTTCAAGTCCTAAAGAGAAATCTGACGGCATGGAGTTTGTTACTACTGAAAGTGAGCAGAAAGTTTTCTCCATCCAACCAACACTGCCACTGCAAAGTGTGGAAATCAATAAATTAACACAAGATTTCTTGGCTATGGAGCAGCAAACCCAATTGCCATATACAATGGAACCAAAAGCAAAAGAAGTTGAACCATATGAACTGTTGAAATCAGCCACGCATACAATTGTGCCATCTGTTCAGAGCTCTAAAGTAGTTCCCGACGTGTCAGCTGACTTCATTGATAGGCAGCAGGAAAAATTACTCGGAGATTTCGAAGAACACGCTACAGATGTTGTGTCTAAAGAAGTAGAGCCACATGTGGTCGTACAAACTACCGAAGCTAAAAACGTTATGAGCGATTTAATTAAAACAACGAGCGTTATTATGGCGACCGTGCCAAAAGTGGGTACAGAGGAAGCTGTTAAGTCACTAGAACAGAGTCTAGCTGACATTCAAACCAAAGATAAGGATACCAGTAGCACCACAACAACTACACAGCAAACCAAACATGAAACCCCATCAGACACAACTCAAATAGATTTCGAACCGGAAATAATTATTGACGAGAAAACAACAACACTAAAAATTAGTTCAGCTGCTACGGACACAGTCAAAGAAGAGAGCATCAAACTTGTAGAATCCATTAAAAAGCTTGAAGAAACCATAAAAGTGGTGGATAAGTCACAAGCGGATGGCATTGAGTTGGCCGCACCAATTAGTGATACAGACAAAGTGTCTGCAACAGGCATCCGCAAGCTAACTGAAGATTTCCTAACCATAGAGCAGACTACACAGTTCTCAACCAGCACAAAACCGATTAAAGAAACAATAGTAACAGACACTTTTGGAAAAACCGCGACATTACCTATTCATGAGAAACCAGAGGAGCAAACAGAAAGTGTCAGCACTATCGGTTTGAGCGAGGAAATTAATAAGATAGTTAGTGAAGCAGCAACGAAAATCGATGCAATTAAAATGACCGATAGTTTCTTGGCCGCAGAACAGCAGCAGCGAACACAATTTCCAATTGTCACCAAATCGCCAACAACAAACATACAAACTGTTACGGAAACTGTGCAAAAATTCGGCGATGACTTGGCTGCGCCAGCACCAATTGAACCGCGGAAATCGATAACACTCACCGACGCTGAATTCTGTAAGTCAGTCGAGGAAACGATCACCAAGAAGATGAGTGCGGGACAAATTGAAATAAGTGATGAGCTCAAAACGATTGGTAAATAATTAAGTTTCTAAAATTAATCAAAATAAATAAATAAATATTAATTGCATGTAAAAATGTATGTAATGAACTTTTATTTTGTTTTTCAACAAAAATATTGAAGCGAGCGACATACCACATTCTCAGACCCCACCGCCAACACCGATTGAAACCAAAACTGACAGACAGCGCGCTGAGGAATCACCGCCACGAGAAACCGCCGTTGGAAATGGTAAACTTCCATTTTGGGTTGAATGTTTAATAAAATAAAATGCATAAAAATTCTTATGTTTTTAATATTCACAGATAATTTAATTGATACTGTGATCACTTTACATAAGACCACAGAATCGACATTCGAACGTGTTTCGGGAATTTCAAAAATCGGTAAGCGCTAAACTATGTAAATCTGTCATTATAAGTTATCTCTTGTAAGGAACTCTCATGCTTTCGTTGCCTTTTAGCATTGTACGAAGTAAAAAAAAAAAAATAAAATTAAATTATATATTCGACCACCATTAAATTTTTGGTTTGTTTGTTTGTATGGCATAATGTAGAGATTCTTTTATTTTAGTTATTGTAACAAATTTAATTATTACTATTTTTTTTTTTCAATTATCTGTTTATAATTTAATTTCTATAGGCTTTTTATGCAAATTTTCATTCACATTTTAATTGTAAAAATTTACCGTTAGTTTTTGTGTTTACCGAGCAAACAATTATAATAACAAAAGCAAAAAAGTAATAAAGAAAATCTCTAAATCAGTGTTTTAAAATATTGTTCTTTGTATATTTAAAATAAAAATAAACAACATCCATCTTCACTTCGAACAGAAGCTAATTGAATGAATTAGCGGCTGGTAGTAAATAAAAAATATTAAGAAACTTATTGTTATATAATATAATATTTATCGGTAGCAATCCTATCTAAATATTCTGATTATTTGACAGTTGGGGGTTATATAACATATACATATGTATCTACCTTATATATTATAAGCCTTGAAATCCTAAATGTATGTTTGTATTGCATGTCACACCAATATGGGATCATAAATCACGTACTGAAAGGTCTGCACAAAAAATCAAGTAAGCCTTTTACACAAGAATGCTGTAAACTACAATAGATTGCGCCTTTACTTTTGGGATTTATGTGTTTACGTCAAAATTTCGTTGTTGTTTTTGTAAAAAGTCAATGTGCATATCTTCCAAAGCAAACAACAAATGCATTGCTCATATTTTGAAAGAAATCATTCAAATACAAGAATTTTGGTGCAATTGGTGAAATTTAAAATAAATTTTACATATTCTTCTCTAACAAATGAGTGATATTTTTTATCACATAAACAAATAAATGATTTTTTTAAATTCATATTTTGCACATTTTTTGCATTCGTCCGCCCTCCTCTATATCTCCCTTTGCTTCGTTCCTTCCGTCGGGAGGCATTTTTTTTCTTTAACGTCTCGCTGACAAATTTAACAACAATATAAATTTACTATACAACTGTACTTACATATTTTTTATGAGACTCCTGCACCATACTTCTCCTCACCATTTCGTTCGACTAATTTAGTTCTTAATTTTCTTCATTTTCCTGACTGGCACTATTTCCAATATGGTCATTCGGAATTTCAGTACAAAGTGGTTATTAGCTATATCTACATCTGACAACAAACATTACTTTCCTGTGATGTTGAAGCTCTTTCAAGAAGCTCAGCCGTTCTCGTTTAGTTTCACAATCTGCTTCTTCGCAAAACCTTAAAAATATGCAGAGTTGTTATGAGTATATCACATTCAACTCAATACTTAAATATTCTAAATACCCAAACCGTATTTCAATATGGGTTCGATGTCTTGCTCAACGAAATAATACTAGCAAATTACAAGCCTCTTAAAAATATATCCTTCCTTGGCAGAACGGTGGCGCCAAATTTGGATCGGCCGGAAAAGTAAATAATCTACACACTGTTAAGAAGGAATCGAAAGTGTGAAGAAAGCAAAGCAACAGCTGACTGTTAAATTTTATAAAAATAATAACGTTGCCCCTAAAGACGCAATCTTATGGCTACATTCTTGTTTTTTACGATAGTTGTCACGTGGATCGATCCTGGGATGGTCGAAAAGGAGGCCAAACTTAGCCTAATGCTTTCCTAAACTTTGATATAATATAAGAGCATTCCATAATGAAACCTACTACAAATAAATTACTGCTTAATTTTTGGAATCATAGTAAAATTCAACCAGCCATCTGCCGTAAGAAAAAATGTTTGTCGAAAGTTAGGTCCCTGGCTTGGAATGGTGGAACGGAAAATACATCTTTCACTTCATTGTAAACACTTTCAAAATACTTATAATTTTCATCATTAAATTTAATTATTTCTTTCAAAATCGAATCAAAATGCCCATCAATAGTAAAAAAATTAAAAATTTATTCATTAAAATGTTCCGTGCGACACCAAGAAATTATAATTATAATCTTTGAGACGCCAAGTGCAAGTAGAGGGCTTTAAAATTATTCAAATAAAAAAACTTGATGAAAAATTAAAATAAAAGTTATTTTGTATACATTATGCTAATATTATTATTTGGCGGCCGCAGTGGCCGAGTGGTTAGTATTGCGTACTGCCACTTGGAAGGCTCGGTTTCAAATCCCCGTGCGACTAACATCCACAAGTTATAGAAAATAATTTAAATAAAAAATTAAGCTAAATTTTCTAATTGCGTTCCAACACCCGGCAGGGAATGTCAACACCTCCGAGTGTATTTCTGACATGAAATGACGCAAAACCACAAATTGGATGAGGAGCTCGGCGGAAAATCGCTTAGGCGGTCGCCAAGAGCCAAATATATATGTTTTTAAAAATATAACGCAAGATATTGGAGATATTTAAATTTTTATATAATTTAAATTTCGGTCCGTAAAGCCGTTGACGTAGTAAAAGGATTTATTATAGCGTTTTATCCTATCAAAATTTAGTTCGGATGTAAGGATGGTGAGATGGTGGGAGTGGTTGGGACATTTACATTTGTTTCGTAAGTATTTCTAAATAAGATTTATCTGCGGCGATTTGTATTTTATTTTAAATCAAAATTACTTTCAATGAATACAATTAATAGTTTCGGTGAAGCAATATAACATGGAAAAATTTGTTTACACTTAAGGCAGGACCGCAACTTGCTGGCATCCCATGCAAACAGTTAGGTATTAGTAGCAGTGACATATGTAGGAAGTATAAGGGAGAAGGAATGAACACCTCCTCTGTTTCTGTCCGGCTTTAACTAAAGCTCAAAACTAGATATTAAGGCTCTCTAGAGCTTCGTGAAAAGCGAATTATATGACGGCTACTTTATATTGAAATCAAACTTACTTCCGCCTGGCATAACAAAAAAACCAATGGTAACCTAACCTAAGTGAGGATGGACGACAAGAGGAGAGTTCGGCGTACTACACATATTGCACTTGTTCGGATATTTCATTTTTTGGTTCTGCAAAATATCTGTAAAGTCTTGCTTAAGATTTTGAATAAGTGAGTAAATGAGCAGCGCTGTTTTTACCCCAGACCTAACACGTACAATTTGGTGGTGTATTTTCGTCGAGCCAAAGTCGTCATCTACATTTCATGACTTCAAAACACTAGTAATTGCATTCCTATCAAAAGCTTTCCAAAGAAATGTGAATGTTCCATCCTAACTGATAAATTTTAGCCCAACACACTCTGGCACACCCTCCTTTTGTAGTATGAGTTTCATCTGAATGTGAAATAACGGAAAGATATACACATACACGTACAAATATATATCTCTCTTTGATCGAAAGGCTAAAAGATTTCGATCGAAAAGGAAATTATTTCCGACCAAAATGTAAGCAACATTTTACAGGATGAAATTAGTCCAAATTATTACTTGTGCTCTAGAGTTCTCTAGTCTTTATGAAAATAATTTTATGTTGAAGGTGCTAGAAAAAAATATTAGTTGAATATTTTTATTATATTTAGTAGATTATTATTTCCCCAAAATATAAAAATATTAATGAAAAGGAATGCGAGTAGTTATCAACATGAATTATATTTAAAAAAAGCTCTCTTGTGAACTAATGAACTAAAAATGTCTTTGAATGGTTTCCATATTGATTTTGTGCAATTCTTGTTGCATTACGCGTCTTTTACGTGGCTGTCTTACATTGCCAAGGTTGTGTTAGCGAAGGCAACCAATTCGGTCAAAATGCTGTTTTACATTGGAACATATAAACATACAGTTAGGGATGATTTTTTTTTACTTCACCTGCAATGGAAAAGGCGAAAGTAACTTTGCTAACAAACAAATATTATATTTGAAATACGAGTATGATGTATAATCGCATACAAACAAACATGTTTAAGCGTTCTAATCTTTTGAGCCCACGGTGTTGGGGAAATGTTAATCAACTTAATATTCTTGCCCCAATAATTATTATAAATAATAAACCTCTTATACCACTTGTTTAAATAACCACAATTTAATTCATCTGTTATAGGGTAATAAATACTTTTAAACCAAATTAAAAAAATAGAGAATGCATAAAATATATTATTATTTCTCAAAGAAACAGTTTCTAAAGATAGATCTTTAGAATAAAATCCAGTTAAATATAGTATCCCACATAAAGCTAAATCAGCAAGATTAAAACAACCTGGTATCAATGGTATGTAAATCTCCAACCCACCTACTAGACAAATAATTCTCAAGATATTTGCCACAATAGTAACAGTATCTGCTGTTTGAAGCGTATTTAGACGGATATGATTTCTTAATGCTACTGTAAACGTAAGTAATACAAAACTCTGCTGTACACACACACACACAAGCTTTTACATGCATATGAAAACATTGTCAAAGCCTTGAACTGTAGGGTGCTTGCGCAGCAACCCTCTTGCTGGTGGCACCATCACCTCCCTCCCTCCCTGCTTGTTGCATTGCCTACAGTTGACTAATTTAATTTATGCAAAAGTTGTGGGCGAATATTTTTCTTTCTTGTTAAATAAAATCGAAAATTCGCTTGCAGTGACTTATTTGATTTTTGTGTGACCGTTACGCGCGCTTGGCGTTGAAAAAAGTACGTTGGTGTTTTCAAATAATATGCATACATACATACATAGGCGTTTTGGATATTTGCTGCTAATAAAAAAATATATTAAATAAAAATATATAGTGTTTGAGTAATACACAAAAATAATTTTGAGTTATTTCCAAAGTAGTTTTCATTAAAAACTGAAACAAATTAACAAGAAAAATACTAAAATCCCTAAATATATAATCAATATTTAAATATTTATTTATTGCGATCTACTACTTGTTCAGCGTTTTTGTTTTAATGTAGATTTTAACAATTTGTACGTTTATTTAACAATATAAAAGCATAAATATCAAACTTAAATCAATTTAAATCAAACGGTAAGTGAAAAACTGTACATGTCGGAGTCCCTGTGGTCTGAGGTTGTAGTAAAAAGTCAAGCTCATATTAATATTATTTAATAATGACAAAGAAAAAGAAAAATGAAAAAACGGTGTGTATTGGTTTTGTCTCGATTACTACTAGGATTATATGCGTACAACAATTTTACTTAGTATAATTTAATTATGATGAAAAAAAGATTGTAAAACGTTTGCAATTTTAAATGGAAGTAAAAGTATTAATGCACAACCAAACTACTTCAAGCTAATTTATTCAATTCGGTTTAATATATGTACTTACGTATGTAAATTTGTAAATACATATGCGAATTCAAACATATATAATATATATATGATTTGTTGAAATTTAAAGTTAAGCAAAATTTTGCAGACTAGAAATTATGATAATAAATATATTTTCATTTCTTTTAATTGAGTGTACAGTTCCAAGTCATTTTGGAAATATTTACTATATTTTAAATACAATTCAAAATTAATTCCAACCAAAATACTTCATATCACAGACATGTATCGGACGAAGCGAGCTTTTGTCCCTTTAGGAAAGCTTTCTTTTACATTGCCACACGATACAAATATATTTCAACTGCATAGCATTAATCAACCAAAACGCTTAGTTCAATAATCAACAAAAACGCCAACACCACGCCAATTTGAGAAACTCCCATACATGAAGTGTGTTTTATTAGGACAAGTTGTTTCAAGAAGAATTACAACGCATTTAATTTAATGCTATGACCCAAAATTTAGCATTATTGTAAAGATAAGGATTTGCCGTTATGTTTTCAAAATGAGCAAGTAACAGCTGCACCTGGCCCGAATAAATTCCAGCGGAGAGGCCCAATTTCCGGCCACTTTTTGCAGCAATAACGCGTCGAATATACTCTTCCAGGGCGTCAATTGTCTCGGGCTTATCTGCGTGTACCAGCGCATTCACATAATCTCAGAAAAAATAGTCCATTAGTGTTAAATCGCATAGTTTTAGAGGCCCACGAAGTTTACTTCGATAAATTTACCGTTTCTTTGGCCATATGGCATGCAGCGCCATCTTGTTGGAACCAAAGGTTGTCCATAACATCCAATTCAGGCACAAAAAGTCATTACATTAAAGCGTTCCCCAGTGACTGTAGCGTTATCACCGGCTTGATTTTTGAAGAAATACACATCCATGATTGCCTCTGCCCAAAGAGCATACCAAGCAGTAACTTTTGGGGATGTAACGGCGTCTCAACAATGGCTTATGGATTATCATCACACCAAAGGGAACGATTTGGTTTATTATCGTGAAAAAAATTTTCGTGCGAAAAACGGGATCGGTGGTCGTTTTGGTCCAATTCACCGATCGTGTGACAGGCGTGCTTTAAGTCTTGCACGAGTTGGAGATCTTTCTGCAAGATTTTTCACAGAGTGGTTTCACGCAGCTCCAATTGTTGCATGCAATAGCAGATGAAGTTATTCTGATCTTCTTCGATACTTCGGTCCACAGCAATAATAGCGTCGGTGTGCACTGTACGACGTCTATGAGAATTCGTATTATTCATTAGAAAAAATGTGGTGGAAAACCGGTTGATGGTTGCTCAAACCACCGACTCTGCTGGATGAGCGATGCGTTGAGCGAACCGTACCATTTTTTTGGTAATTTATTTGTAAAATTTGCAAACGGTGTTCCGAAGTCAGTCTGTTCATTCTGAATGGGCAAGCCAAACAGAATATAAATCTAGTAACGACCATCTCCGAAAAAGTATATCATCATTGAAAACCACAGGTTTAAAAAAAAACAGCCTTAATTTTTCATTAAAAAATCAGCCGATAAAGCCCTTGAGAAAAGTTTCACCTCGGTAGGGGTGATATGAAACAAAAGCTCCTCATTAAACCCCGGAGGTGGTCATAAACTGCAGGTCCCTCCGTTTGTTGGAAAAGCTTTGGAGAGCTTTAATGAAAATTTGCTTTCCGATCGATTACGAAAGGCTAATTATATACACACATATATGCATACCACAAACTGTTTATACTTCTTTTTAGTTTAAACAGAAAAAATTGAGTTTTATCAAAATTTTACAAAACTGTTCCTCGCAGTCCGAATATTAAAAAACGCGTACATAATCATTTGCCTTTTGGAGACTATAAATTTTAGTTTTGTGATGGCCATAATATAAAATTCCGCGATTTCGTGGATTTAGGGTGTTTAGCGAATTTTGTTCAGTCCAAACATTTCTTTATTAATTTTATAATAATTTTTGGATATTGGTATACCTCGTATTGATATTGAAAACTAAATCAGAAAAAGTGACTAATAATGAACTTCATAAAATCAACAGTTGGGTAATGGTACCTTATCTTATTGGTGAATCAATGAAATGTAAATAGCGCTCCGAAATTTTTAAAAAAAATTTTATTTTATGGAAATAATTGCTTTTCTCATTGAAAGATGAATTTTTTTCAGCAAAATTGCAAGTTTTATAAAAACTATGGTTATGTATTGTAGACTTGGGAGACCTTGGGAGACCTGCACTTTACATGAGAAGTGTCACTTAGCATTCCGCTTCATAGATTTCGTTCATAAGTCCTTAGCCAATATATATGTAAGGGCTCAGAACTTCGTTGGGAAATTTGTTTGAATTTCTTTATTCATTCATGTACCACTTTCATTAGCCGAAACTTTTGCTTTGATATAAAAAAAAAAGTATTCTACTTCCATATTTGCTTCAAAAAATATGACACTTCGTAGACTGCTGATGAAGATGCCGCCTAATTGTTCCCAAGTAGATTTTCTTTTCGAGTATGTCTCCCATAAGAAGATGAATGAAATTCAACTTTAACTACAAAAATTCTTTTTGCTGTTAACATCTACAATCCACTTAAAAAAATTTAATCTGAGACTTCTCTTTCACAAGCTGTTTATTAGTCAAAAGTTATGCGACTTTTAAACTTTTTTCCGTAATTTTTTATGAAAAAATTGATTGCGAAAAATCTTAACAACTTAATTTTTAAAAGGAGAAAGAAATGCAAAAAATATTATAGAAAAATTCTTTAATTATTTTATAATTTTTTAAATATTTTTTTAGCCTATTTTAGCCTTAAACATAGCATACTTTTATTTAACCAAAATTATTACAATTGAAAATGCTCTGATCACGAATATTATTTTTATTTTATAGCTGTAAATGCTCTTGTGTAATACTTAGTTAGTGTTTTAAGTTGAAGTACCGTACTGCGCTACAACAAAATTATCACATATGTATTTATAAATTTAATGGAATCATTGCATATAAAGCGGTTATGGGTCTTTTATTTAGACATAATGCATACGTGTATAACTGTATGTATGTATATAAATGAAAAAAAAAAAATCTCAAACTATGCACTTGCTTTTTTCTTTAAACACATTTTATAATTGTTTTGTGCTTCTTAAAAAATATTGGCAAAGCAGCAACTGTATGTACATATGTATGTAAATCAATAATCATAAATATCTGCATAAAGGATAATGTGTATGTTATATGAAGTCGTGGTTGATTGAGTTTTTTTTTTTTAATTGATCATCTTAAGCGTGTTTTTGCTCTAAACGATTCGTACACTCAATTGGCGCGATTTCTCTTCTTAAAATAAATAATATTTAAAAATGCAAACGTTCTCTGGTACATTTACGAATTTATATGAATTGATATGTTAGAAAAACCATACTATTAAGCGATACTAAAATCAATGTTAATATCCCATAGGGTTGTCCAAAAATGCAAGCACGAGAAAATTGATTTCATAAAATTCACATGCATCATGCCCAGAATGGTTGAGAGAATGGTTTGGAGAATATTAATCTGTTTTTTTTTTAATTAGAAATTCGTTAAAGTTTAATAGCGCTGCCGTAGCTTTGTCACAGAATTTTGCTTTGAAACATTTTAGCTTTTTGTAAAATAGTTTAGTTAACACAAAGTAAAAAGAATCAAATTAAAAATATTTTTATTAAAGCAATATTTTTTTTTCAATAACCAACGGCTAAAAAATATACGTTACTTTGTTACAGTAATTTTAATTCCATAATTTTCGGCCAAATTTTATTTGGGAAGGAAAGAATTGTGTGTAAATAAAGCGTTAAATTGAAATGAAATTTAAAGATTAACACCTAGGGGATTTTAAAGTGTTTTTATGCACGTTAAGCTTGGTTTAAAATCAAATTTTTGAAAAGTTTTCCATAAAAAAAAAAAATTAAATTATTAACTGGAATAAACTAGTTGAAATGAAAGTAAAAATTTTGTATAACTTATCCATCAAATATAATGTTAAATTAAAGTTAAGTTCGAAATTTCAACTTTTAAAGGCAGTGAAACAGTTTTCTTTTTTTCATAAAACATTATTTTTTTTATAATAAATCTTAGCAATTTCACATAAATTTTTAACTTATTTCCAAATAAAAAAAAATGCTTTACCTTTCTCCACTCTTCATCGTTTTGGGTTGTATGCAAGCGCAAAAAATCTACTTTGGACTACCCTAATACATATCTAAAGCTTAGCATGTGTAAGAATTATGAAAGACAGATACGCCAGCGGCATTATACATATGTACTCGTATACTCGTATATACACGTATATAATCCACGACCTCGTATAGCATATCGTCTCTACACATATTCGTAATCATAAAAT